GTGTAGCTAGTAATATCAAACGTATGTCCATAAAAACGTCTGTTAATCAGATAACCATTTCATCCGTTGTTTTTGGCAATAACATATGCATTTTGAAACAGCACAGTAAGGCAGTCTCTTTCATCCAATTGAAGCTTTGACAGGGACTGTCCAGCCCGAGTCTAAGTTCCTTCTTCATTTTATTTCTTTTTTTTTATAAAAAGAAACTCAAACTGTGAGCTTTCGTCAAGTTCATGTGCACTTTCTCCAACTTGTGGGGAACGGTACATGCAAATACGTACATAAGTTCCATAATTTAAGAACCCGTAATAAAGCTGTAACATTTGTTGCTATTGATCAAAATGATAACTCGGCACACACTATTTTCCTCTCCTACAGATTACAAGTCCGCCAGGGCCTACCTTCTTTCCAATTTTAGTAAACTTCCATTTCTCTTCCTCACTTCGTTTTAATTTTAGCCACGCTTTGCACCAACGAAGTGTTTAAAGTTCAACAACGTCATTTTCTAAACAAAAGGTTTATCCATGAGTACTGTGTACGACTGATAAAGAAGAAACAGAGGATCAAGTCTGTGAAAACGCAAATAGCATGAGCACATGTGTTGCGGCCATTTTGTCGAGTAGGGGTATTACGAAACGAAAACGAGACTGTACATTACATCATCCAGGAATCCCCCAACCTCAACCAGTCACAAAATAGTATTTCTGAGTGAAACTGAGGTTTATAAATTATGTATTAATTAGCTGGGAACTCCCCGAGATTTTCACCCCGTCTCTCTTTTCGAATGAAGTAAAATATATCGTCCAGAAAAGAAACAACAACGTATTCCTTGTATTTACACATTCCCAGTCAGTTTTAAAACTCGCAGGACATAAGGTCCGACGATACAGGATTTTTTATCGGACCGAGACGAAATTTGCCAGGCATGTCCGACGGTCCGACGCCTTTCGTAAAGTCTGATGTATGTAAATAAAGATTTGAAATTCATTATGTACCTTTCATAGTCAATAACAAACAAATAAATAAATTTGACTATTTTCAGTGTTGGGTTTAATTTAGAATTAATTTATTCGCCTTCAGGATTCATCTCCTTGGGCCTGGATGAAGGACTTGTTCCCTGCATATGAGGGCAGATACTTCATTGATGACCAGGTTTGCCCACAGTTTGACCAGCTGACCAGCCAAGTGGACAGTCCAGCCAAATACCACCAGATGGTGGTTTTACTCCAGGCATTAGATGACTTGTGGGAGGCTCAGTATGCCAATTACAAATGGGCCACAGTTTACGACGAGGACAAAAAAGAACTTAAACAAGTGGAGTCGTCGTTTTTCATGAATGTGAAAAAGTTGCCGTGGATACCATCAGAGAAAGGAAAATTTGGTGCTTTCAGAAATAGAGGTGGTGCCAGTGACCATCTAGAGATGGAAAATGTACTTTTGCATGGCAGCACCATATATATAAGGCACAAAGCAATAGAAAGCCTGCTAGGAGAGCATGTCCCATATCTTGCCAGGGGGATTCAGTTGAAATCATCTCTGTGCAAAGAACTCGGAGTACAGGCTTTCTTGTCTAATGAAGCTGTACTTGAACATCTAAAAGAATGGTCGGAGGCAAGCAATCAAGGTCAAATATTTGTCACCACAGTAAGGCATATGAAGAATGTGTATTGGCATTTTGAAAGATATATAGCAGATGGACTGAAAGAATTGTTTGGTCAGAATGACTTCATATTTGTTCCTAAAGAAGATGGCGCCACTTACCAGACCAATGCATTCGTAGCTGGTGAATTTCTGCCTTTGAAGATGGTGTGTTGGCATGACCCCACGGGGCTGGTGCAGAAATATGGCACTCAGGGGAAAGATGCTGGAATGACTGGTCAAAAAAAGAAATACAAGAGGGAATTGGCCCATGTCTATCCTGACATGGAAGCATTTTTCAGAGGTATTTTACAAGTCATGGAAACCCCCACTATGAAAGAGTATGTTCAACTTCTACAAGAAATAGCAGAAGAGAACCCTGTGCCCAACCATGCAGCCACACTCCATGCTTACAAGATTTTTGAAATACTTGGCCAGAAATGTAAAAAGAAGGAAAATCCAAGTGGCATTGTTGGCCAAAAAGGTAGAGGAATCCTCTCGGAACTCTCAGATGCTTCTTCCACTGTTGAATTGGACTCGATTTTTGCGGGGCAGTTGAAACATTTATTGGAAACTGCTGATGTGATACCGACCTCCAGCAACAAGTGGGTTCAGGTTCAAGAGGAGCCGCTCCTGGCAGATGACCCACGTCTTGCAGAGCTCTTCAAGAAACAGGTGGCTGAGAAGATCTTACTGGTGGCTGAACCTGTTGTTGCAGGTACAGAGAGAAATGATTGTTTACATATCTTAATTTTTTTCTTGAGGTTATATTCAAAGCATTAAAAGCACCGAAGTGATTATTAAAAAAAAGTATATTTTTATTAACTTAAAGATGTCTTTCTGTTTAAAGTCTAATGAAGGGAATGTCTCTTACTACCCTTCAGTTGAAACATTTCTTCTGATTTCAGCCAATTAAAAAATGGTTACTATACCTTTATTTTAGTACTTCTTTGTGACAGGACCCTTTATTTAAGATTTGTCTCATGCTAAAAGATCAACTATAAATATTAATTTGCTGCGATATCTGAATGTTTTACAGGTATTCAACAATCTAGTTATGAGGACCAAGTTACTGAATTGAGGTCAAGGGCAGAATTTTTCTTCAAGGCTGTTGGAATCAAAACTCTTTCCGAGGGCGTAGAACAGGAGGTGGTCTCAGAGAGCACACGCCCAAGCCCAGAAGTTCAGCAATATATTCATGAAGTGGTGCCTTATATACAACAGTTTTTGTTTTCCTCCCACCCCACTGTGTACAAGAAACTGCAAGAAAAGAAGGTGTCCGCAGTATTGAAACTTCTTTTGTTTTACCAGAGCAGTAAGCTGGATGTTGTGTACAGACTGAGAGGCAAGCGACATGTTAATGTGACCGTGCAAGAAAAGTGCATCTTGCAGAACGAGCGTGAGTTTTATGTCCACAAGGACAGCGTCAAATCCTACAGAGATATGGACAAGGAGCTGGTGAAGATTTTCCTTCCAGCTTCTGCACAAGATTTGGAGACTGGGCTCCTGAATTTTCTGCAGGTTTTGAGGATGCACATCCAGAAGCCAGATGGTGGGATGACAGATGCAGACTTCCAGAGAGAACAGAAGATGAAGGCTTTGCCTGAAGAGGAGGAAAGATGGGCGGTGCCAGAGCCTGACCAGCTGTTAATAAGACCCTCTCAAAAGACTGGTAAGAAGGGACACTTGTGAATAAGAATTGGTACAATGTAGTAGAAGCTTGAGCATTTTGCCATTATTAGTCTCTTTACACTCTGATAGTGTCTTACTTGTGTGGAGTTGAAATATCAGACAGTTTTGTAAATGGGCCTGGGTTGATTATTTTGGTTGAAAGTATGTGGATTTTCATAGTTTTATTCTGTAGTTTTCTGCTGTTTTTGCTTTTTGGCAGGATTTTCATTTGGCAAATATCTGATAAGTGAATGTCAAGAGGAAACATAATTGCTCAAATACTTCGCTGCAGCTAGTCAGGCCAAAACTTTTACTAGTTTTAAGCAGTGTCAATTTTATAATGTGCCAGGCCAAGTTAGTTTTGATCATAATTGCAAAATCAGGATATATCAGTACTTGTGATTTCAATGACAATTTAGTCTCCATAGTTAAGTTTGACAAATGAATATTATTTGATACTTCTGAAAGATATTTTGATCAACAAAATGTTTTGATCTGTCATCAGAATCTAAGGAGCATCCTCTTGATGACCTCANACCTTACTATGAACTGAAACTTGATTGTACCATTTTTAGTTATATATATTTTTTTGCATATTTTGAGAATTCTTGTTGATTGCATTTTTTACACCTTGTCAAGCACAAGACTGGTGGTGGTGTCCCTTTTATGTGTGTGGGGGGTCTATACGATCGTGCTTACTCCAGCTGGTGGTACAATATTCGGAGGCGGTATCGCCTCTCTGATCCTCTAGTTTTTATATACCATAGTTTTGCATTTAACATGTTGCATTGAACATAAGTATTAAAAAATTTATTAAGAAGTTATTCTGAAATAAAACGTACAAAAATGCTCAGAATAAAAAAATGTAATAGTTACATTAAATATAGACAAATACAACTGTTTTTGTTTGTTTGATATGTGTTTAGTGAAAGAAAGACAAGACCTGAAGTGTAACAGTTGCTTTCTGTTTTTCATTTAAGAATTGACTATTCTGGATTCTGCTCTCTGGCTTGCCTGCCTCTCCCACCATCTTGAAAAAACGCCAGCAGATGACCATGACACCATGGAGACCATCCTCTCCCTACCCATAATTCCATTGGTGAATGGATCAGTTGTTGCTCTCTCAGAGAATACTGTGTTTTTCTCAGCTGCCAAAAGGTCTCCGACAGGGAAGAGTGCCAGTATGTGTATAATTATATGAATCAGATGTTTAGGCTATTTCAGTGGATATTTTATTTATTTATTTATTTATTTATTTATTTATTTACTGTGTTTTTGAATGTTTGTTCCATCCGCGAAGTTATAGATAATTCTTTTTAAGTCTTTAAAAAAGATAAAATGTAATTCTCAGACCAGCTTAAGTTTAGACATTGTGACAGTTTGGACTGAAGTTGTTTGTTTTTACTTTTTTTCTTAATTTTTTGGTATGAAAAAATTAATGTAGTAATGTTTGTCTTGATTACAACATGTAAGGGGACTAATATTATCCTCGTTCATTTACAAATCTTATTAAAACATGTTTGAAAAATAAACTAACTTTATTATTATGACATAATTATTTTTTAAAAACTGATCCCTTTCCAGGTGCCTCCATGCAAGCAGCATTGACAGTTCTAGAGCAGGACATCCCTACTGTCCATCCAGATGTCCTGAGGTCACTGGACGGTGTCCAGAACGCTTCAGTTAAGAGGATGCTAGAAAACAGGGGTGTCAAACACATCAGTTCAGAGGATGTTATCAAAAAACATGTCCTTCCATGCTTTGCCTCTGGGAAATGGAAAGTGAGTGAAATAATGAGGCTGATTTAGCATTGTTGTTGTTGTTTGATTTTTGTTTTGGCCTAAACCTTATCTTTAAGTTTATTTATTCACAGTGTGAAGGAGGATTATTTAAGTTGTTTTGATGAACTTTTTCTTAATTTCATTTCATTAAAAGTAAAGTGTATTAGTGAATGGCCATTTATTCCTCTATTTACTTTATTTATGTCTGGTTACCAGCCATTCATCCATTCATCCACATACTGAGTAGAAAAATTGAAATGTTTTTACTCTGTTTCTGAAAGAAATAAGCAAATATTATTCTTTTGTATCACCACAATATCTATAGGAGAAGTCAACTGATTTGCTGTTGGCCTATGTTCAACTGATCAAAGAACAGTGGACCAGTGACAAGCAGTCTTTGAACATGCTGGAAGTGAGGAGGGTCATTCAAGTTCAACTGACCAACGGTCATTTTGTCAACCCACAAGACACAACAGTACAGCTTTCCAGGGAATATCTCAGCATGTTTGATCTTCCCAGCATGTTTCCAGGTAAGAGCATCTTGAATCGGAAAGAACAGTAGGTTGATCGAGACTGCACGCACATGTGCATGCACGCACATGCAAACATTAGTATGTACAAGCTTAAACTCTCTTACATTATGTGACATAAAAGGATAAAAGTCATAGGAAAATGAGGCAGCCCAAGGCAACCCCACAAATGAAATTTGTGCAAAATTGTTGGTAAATAATAACTTTTGCTGACTCGTCGCATCATAATTTTTAGGATGATGAGTCTTATTGAATATTTGATATATAATTTTTATCCCTAAGGCCATAACATTTAATACAGGCAACAATTTGCTACATTGTTATTATTGTTAAAACGATCAGGATAGAGGGGTTATATAATAAAAGCGGCCTTGTTTGGCCAAATCACAAACAATCAATACTCCTTGTTGCCTTCTTTCTTGCTATGAATGAGACCATAAAAAGTTTGTGGTACACTGAGATGGAGGAGACATAAAATATGTTCTTGCAAATTTGCAGCTAATTTGCTGGAAATTTGCCGAAACACGAAGACTTTTCTTGCAAACCTGCTGCAAACTTAAGTTGTTATGGCAGGTTTGTTGCAAATTAGCAGCAATAAATTTTTTTCTCGCAAAACCCTGCAAATTAAAAGTTTGCAACAAATTTGCAGCAATTTTGCCACAATATAGCAGCTGCAAAATTTTCATTTTGTAAGGGTGGTACATGTATGGGCAATCATTTGATGTAGGAATAGTCAATATGTTCTGAACCAGATAGACAAAGTCTGCTGTAACCCTTCAGCTGCTACAGGTCAGTTCCCTTTTTAAATGTTGTTTTTTATAATAAGTTTTGTAAATTGTGTTTTGTTCAAAGAATTTTTCTCCTTACAGACTCTGTCTGGAACATCGTCAGTAGTGCCTACCTAGACCTTTCTGCCTTGTCATCCAAACAGACCACTTCGAACAGGCAACAATGGAAGATGTTTCTTTTGGCGCTAGGAGTCAAGGAATTCCTGGCTGTGGACAAAATAGAAGTGGTCCTTAAACACAGCGAATTGGTAAATGTGAATATTGAATATTAAATAAAAAATTAAACTTCTAGTTCTCAGCAAATACATGTAGTTATGTTGATCTCAAAGGCATATATTGTTCATAAGACCTTAAAAAAGATTAATTAAAAAGTCTTAGATTAATATTTGTGGAATTTTCACTTTGTCAGCAAGGTATACTCATCCAAAAATGTTGAGAAAAATACTATCTGTGCACCTGTTTTAGAGTTTTAAATTTATGCTTATCACAGTTACAAGTAAAATTCACCAGTCTATGTCTCCCATCCATCTTCACATGAGAGTGGCTTGTACTTGGGAATAATTTTATTTTCAAATTAATTTTATGATTCAAAAACCAGTCTACAAATAGTAATTTTGGCAATGGTTTGAGATATGATATGTCTTGGTGATAAGGGGAAAAGTATTTTTCAATATTTGAAGGTTAACAAGAAAATTTAAACCTATGTATGTAAATAAAGGTTTGAAATTCATTATGTACCTTTCATAGTCAATAACAAACAAATAAATGAATTTGACTATTTTCAGTGTTGGGTTTAATTTAGAATTAATTTATTCGACTTCAGGATTCATCTCCTTGGGCCTGGATGAAGGACTTGTTCCCTGCATATGAGGGCAGATACTTCATTGATGACCAGGTTTGCCCACAGTTTGACCAGCTGACCAGCCAAGTGGACAGTCCAGCCAAATACCACCAGATGGTGGTTCTACTCCAGGCATTAGATGGCTTGTGGGAGGCTCAGTATGCCAATTACAAATGGGCCACAGTTTACGACGAGGACAAAAAAGAACTGAAACAAGTGGAGTCGTCGTTTTTCATGAATGTGAAAAAGTTGCCATGGATACCATCAGAGAAAGGAAAATTTGGTGCTTTCAGAAATAGAGGTGGTGCCAGTGACCATCTAGAGATGGAAAATGTACTTTTGCATGGCAGCACCATATATATAAGGCACAAAGCAATAGAAAGCCTGCTAGGAGAGCATGTCCCATATCTTGCCAGGGGGATTCAGTTGAAATCATCTCTGTGCAAAGAACTCGGAGTACAGGCTTTCTTGTCTAATGAAGCTGTACTTGAACATCTAAAAGAATGGTCGGAGGCAAGCAATCAAGGTCAAATATTTGTCACCACAGTAAGGCATATGAAGAATGTGTATTGGCATTTTGAAAGATATATAGCAGATGGACTGAAAGAATTGTTTGGTCAGAATGACTTCATATTTGTTCCTAAAGAAGATGGCGTCACTTACCAGACCAATGCGTTCGTAGCTGGTGAATTTCTGCCTTTGAAGATGGTGTGTTGGCATGACCCCACGGGGCTGGTGCAGAAATATGGCACACAGGGGAAAGATGCTGGAATGACTGGTCTAAAAAAGAAATACAAGAGGGAATTGGACCATGTCTATCCTGACATGGAAGCATTCTTCAGAGGTATTTTACAAGTCATGGAAACCCCCACTATGAAAGAGTATGTTCAACTTCTACAAGAAATAGCAGAAGAGAACCCTGTGCCCAACCATGCAGCCACACTCCATGCTTACAAGATTTTTGAAATACTTGGCCAGAAATGTAAAAAGAAGGAAAATCCAAGTGGCATTGTTGGCCAAAAAGGTAGAGGAATCCTCTCGGAACTCTCAGATGCTTCTTCCACTGTTGAATTGGACTCGATTTTTGCGGGGCAGTTGAAACATTTATTGGAAACTGCTGATGTGATACCGACCTCCAGCAACAAGTGGGTTCAGGTTCAAGAGGAGCCGCTCCTGGCAGATGACCCACGTCTTGCAGAGCTCTTCAAGAAACAGGNGTGCCTACCTAGACCTTTCTGCCTTGTCATCCAAACAGACCACTTCGAACAGGCAACAATGGAAGAAGTTTCTTTTGGCACTAGGAGTCAAGGAATTCCTGGCTGTGGACAAAATAGAAGTGGTCCTTAAACACAGCGAATTGGTAAATGTGAATATTGAATATTAAATAAAAAATTAAACTTCTAGTTCTCAGCAAATACATGTAGTTATGTTGATCTCAAAGGCATATATTGTTCATAAGACCTTAAAAAAGATTAATTAAAAAGTCTTAGATTAATATTTGTGGAATTTTCACTTTGTCAGCAAGGTATACTCATCCAAAAATGTTGAGAAAAATACTATCTGTGCACCTGTTTTAGAGTTTTAAATTTATGCTTATCACAGTTACAAGTAAAATTCACCAGTCTATGTCTCCCATCCATCTTCACATGAGAGTGGCTTGTACTTGGGAATAATTTTATTTTCAAATTAATTTTATGATTCAAAAACCAGTCTACAAATAGTAATTTTGGCAATGGTTTGAGATATGATATGTCTTGGTGATAAGGGGAAAAGTATTTTTCAATATTTGAAGGTTAACAAGAAAATTTAAACCTATGTATGTAAATAAAGGTTTGAAATTCATTATGTACCTTTCATAGTCAATAACAAACAAATAAATGAATTTGACTATTTTCAGTGTTGGGTTTAATTTAGAATTAATTTATTCGACTTCAGGATTCATCTCCTTGGGCCTGGATGAAGGACTTGTTCCCTGCATATGAGGGCAGATACTTCATTGATGACCAGGTTTGCCCACAGTTTGACCAGCTGACCAGCCAAGTGGACAGTCCAGCCAAATACCACCAGATGGTGGTTCTACTCCAGGCATTAGATGGCTTGTGGGAGGCTCAGTATGCCAATTACAAATGGGCCACAGTTTACGACGAGGACAAAAAAGAACTGAAACAAGTGGAGTCGTCGTTTTTCATGAATGTGAAAAAGTTGCCATGGATACCATCAGAGAAAGGAAAATTTGGTGCTTTCAGAAATAGAGGTGGTGCCAGTGACCATCTAGAGATGGAAAATGTACTTTTGCATGGCAGCACCATATATATAAGGCACAAAGCAATAGAAAGCCTGCTAGGAGAGCATGTCCCATATCTTGCCAGGGGGATTCAGTTGAAATCATCTCTGTGCAAAGAACTCGGAGTACAGGCTTTGTTGTCTAATGAAGCTGTACTTGAACATCTAAAAGAATGGTCGGAGGCAAGCAATCAAGGTCAAATATTTGTCACCACAGTAAGGCATATGAAGAATGTGTATTGGCATTTTGAAAGATATATAGCAGATGGACTGAAAGAATTGTTTGGTCAGAATGACTTCATATTTGTTCCTAAAGAAGATGGCGTCACTTACCAGACCAATGCGTTCGTAGCTGGTGAATTTCTGCCTTTGAAGATGGTGTGTTGGCATGACCCCACGGGGCTGGTGCAGAAATATGGCACACAGGGGAAAGATGCTGGAATGACTGGTCTAAAAAAGAAATACAAGAGGGAATTGGACCATGTCTATCCTGACATGGAAGCATTCTTCAGAGGTATTTTACAAGTCATGGAAACCCCCACTATGAAAGAGTATGTTCAACTTCTACAAGAAATAGCAGAAGAGAACCCTGTGCCCAACCATGCAGCCACACTCCATGCTTACAAGATTTTTGAAATACTTGGCCAGAAATGTAAAAAGAAGGAAAATCCAAGTGGCATTGTTGGCCAAAAAGGTAGAGGAATCCTCTCGGAACTCTCAGATGCTTCTTCCACTGTTGAATTGGACTCGATTTTTGCGGGGCAGTTGAAACATTTATTGGAAACTGCTGATGTGATACCGACCTCCAGCAACAAGTGGGTTCAGGTTCAAGAGGAGCCGCTCCTGGCAGATGACCCACGTCTTGCAGAGCTCTTCAAGAAACAGGTGGCTGAGAAGATCCTACTGGTGGCTGAACCTGTTGTTGCAGGTACAGAGAGAAATGATTGTTTACATATCTTGATTTTTTTCTTGAGGTTATATTCAAACCATTAAAAGCACCGAAGTGATTATTAAAAAAAAAAGTATATTTTTATTAACTTAAAGATGTCTTTCTGTTTTAAGTCTAATGAAGGGAATGTCTCTTACTACCCTTCAGTTGAAACATTTCTTCTGATTTCAGCCAATTAAAAAATGGTTACTATACCTTTATTTTAGTACTTCTTTGTGACAGGACCCTTTATTTAAGATTTGTCTCATGCTAAAAGATCAACTATAAATATTAATTTGCTGTGATATCTGAATGTTTTACAGGTATTCAACAATCTAGTTCAGAGGACCAAGTTACTGAATTGAGGTCAAGGGCAGAATTTTTCTTCAAGGCTGTTGGAATCAAAACTCTTTCCGAGGGCGTAGAACAGGAGGTGGTCCCAGAGAGCACACGCCCAAGCCCAGAAGTTCAGCAATATATTCATGAAGTGGTGCCTTATATACAACAGTTTTTGTTTTCCTCCCACCCCACTGTGTACAAGAAACTGCAAGAAAAGAAGGTGTCTGCTGTCTTGAAACTTTTTATATTTTACCAAAGCAGTAAGCTGGATGTTGTGTACAGACTGAAAGGCAAGCCACATGTTAATGTGACCGTGCAAGAAAAGTGCATCTTGCAGAACGAGCGCGAGTTTTATGTCCACAAGGACAGCGTCAAATCCTACAGAGATATGGACAAGGAGCTGGTGAAGATTTTCCTTCCAGCTTCTGCACAAGATTTGGAGACTGGGCTCCTGAATTTTCTGCAGGTTTTGAGGATGCACATCCAGAAGCCATATGGTGGGATGACAGATGCAGACTTCCAGAGAGAACAGAAGATGAAGGCTTTGCCTGAAGAGGAGGAAAGATGGGCGGTGCCAGAGCCTGACCAGCTGTTAATAAGACCCTCTCAAAAGACTGGTAAGAATGGACAGTTGTGAATAAGAATTGGTACAATGTAGTAGAAGCTTGAGCCTTTTGCCATTATCAGTCTCTTTACACTCTGACAGTGTCTTACTTGTGTGGAGTTAAAATATCAGACAGTTTTGTAAATCGGCCTGGGTTGATTCTTTTGGTTGAAAGTATGTGGATTTTCGTAGTTTTATTCAGTAGTTTTCTGCTGTTTTTGCTTCTTGGCAGGATTTTCATTTGGCAAATATCTGTTAAGTGAATGTCTAGAGGAAACATAATTGCTCAAATACTTCGCTGCAGCTAGACAGGCCAAAACTTTCACTAGTTTTAAGGAGTTGAGTCAAGTCAGTGTCAATTTTATAATGTGCCAGGCCAATTTAGTTTTGATCATAATTGCAAAATCAGGATATATCAGTACCACTAGTCTTTTTGTGATTTCAGTGATAATTTAGTCTCCATACTTAAGTTTGACAAACGAATATTATTTGATATTTCTGAAAGATATTTTGATCAACAAAATGTTTTGATCTGTCATCAGAATCTAAGGAGCATTCTCTTGATGACCTTAACTGGACGGAGAAAGATGAGAAAGCAAAGAAGAAAAAGAACCCTCCAGAGGCAGGAGAACTTACAGCCTGGCCACCCCCACCACCAAAGGAAAAGAAGGGTCCACCTACTGATTCGGGTTTGTATTACAACATTTAAAGACTTTATTTTTATATGAAAACATATTGCAGTGTGGACTTGCGTAAAACAGCATCAGTCAGAATTACATTAACTAAGTCAGAGAGCAATTTTTTGTGAACAGTTATATATAGCTTAAAATCATGAACTTCTGATAAGTCCATGAAAAAAATTTAAAAAAAAATTATTTGCGGTTTCAGAAAGATCCCAACCACAAGCTACAGGCAAGCCTCCAATGGGCAGTGCTCCAATTTCTGAGCCATTGCACTTACATGTAAAAGATGAAGATACCCATGCATCTCAGAGAGCACAGATTGACCATGGTCCTTTCAGGCAGGTGGAAGCTGGTCCCATCTTGCCTCAAGTACAGCCATCTAGTGGACAGAATCAAGTGATGAAGGCAGACGGCCGAGAAGTTCCATCAGACCAAGGGCAGAGTAGCAGCACGACTGAAGATGGCTCTTTTGGAAGACCTGTTGACAATACAGGACAAGGTATCAGAGATTTAAATTGCAATGCAGTTAATGCATTTTGATTCTGATAAGTTTGCATTTTTTTTTCCTTATTAGCCTTTTGAGATATGGTTGTGGTCTTTAATTAGATTTTTTCTCTGTACATTGGAAAAGAAGTTCCATTGGGAATAACTAAAGTTCTCTATGACTGTTTGGAGTTCAACTCCATATAATTGATGTGATTTGTAATGGGAACTGAACTTCTTCAGCAAATCTTTGAAAATAAGTATGAAAGATATGCTTAAGAATAACTGAAATCATACGAATAAGACCTTCATTTTTCAGTTGTCAACCAAAGACCATAACAAACCCAGCATGTTCCTGACAGTGTTCCAACAGTGCAGCACCAAGCCCTCCCTCAGTTTGGTGTACCCTCTCAGTTTGGTTTCAGTGTTCCTGGTCCGCATGTGGACCCTTCACACCATCATCAGCAGGGGAGTCAAGACATGGGATCCCGTGGCGGAGAATCGGATTTATTTTCTCTGTTTTCCTCACCACCTCGCTCTCTGGGACCTGCACTATTCGGCCCCGGAGACAGCATAGAACAAGTGCAATATGAAGACACTACTGGTATTAATATAGAGACTGCACTTCCTCCAGTTGCTGAGGTTCTTGTCGGTGATAAGAAGCATATCGGGGAATGGGGAGAGAAGTGGGTGAACAGTTTCTTGCAGGCCAAGTTCAGGGAGCAGATAGAGAAGAAATACCTTGTTATCCATTGGGTGAATGAGAAACAAGAATCTGGGAAGCCTTATGATTTCCGTATTGAGTGGATTGCTGAAAAAAAGGAGGTCTTTATTGAAGTGAAAAGTACTTTTGCAGAAAATAAGGACATGTTTGAGATCTCGTCCCAAGAGCTTATGGCTGCACAGATGTTGGAAAAAAATTACCAGATTTACAGGGTGTATAATGCTGGTAATAGCTTTCAGCCTGTGAAACTCAGGGTTCTGGAGAATGTCCTGCAACTTCTGGATAGTAAAGCCATAAAAATGAGCATGTGGTTGTAGATTAATTGTTTAAAAAAAAATCAAAACTAAAATGTTTTATATTATTTACGGAGGGAGGAATAAGAGAAAGTGTATTTTAAGATAATTGTTTTTTTTTTAATTGGATTCCAAGCCATTTGTGAAGACTTTTTTAAAAAGATTTTGTAAAAATCTGTTTTTTTTTTTTTCATAACCATATTGATATGATTTATCAAAAATCAAAAATATTTTTTTCAGATTTTGCAATATTTTAGAAAATTTATAGTGGAATGTGATTTTCATTCTTCACCTTTATACCATGCAATTTTTAGTTTTTTTAAGTAAAGTGCTCTATTCACTTATTTCAAGGGAGTGGAGACTTATTTCTTGTGAACTATGCAAAATCTTTTTAAACATAATTGCTAACCAGTCATTAGAGCCTGAAGTTGTCAACCAAATTGAAAGTTGTGAGAACTTTAATATACAAATGACAGATGCAGGGAAAGACTTTTCATGAGCAAAGAAACTATAAATGGTATGGAGGTTGATGTTGTAAAGGCCAGACACAACCCTGTTGGTTTAAAACTTCTAACACGTTATTTATCAGTTATAAGGAATATCAGACATAAGCTACCACGGAAATGCAGAATTCCACGTTTTTTAAATCAATTCTGATGGTTCCTGAGATTTGTCTTGTCTGAGATTCGATAAATATGCAGAGATTTTTTTGAAACCTAGGCTCATGTCTGGAATAAGAAATCTAAGCGAGTTTTGAAAAAGTGAACATGAAAGGTTTATTATTGGGAACTGCAGTTGTATGGTAAACTATAAACAGAGATGTTGAAGAAATGGTTAATATGAAAACATACTGAATCACATTAATTTATAGAAATTAACGTTCTTAAATGAAAAAATGCATTAATCTGTATTTTTAACATCCATGGAATACATTTGATCTCATATTTTTTATCGCAATTTTTTTTATATTCACTATGAGCAACAATTGACTTTTTGTGATGTGTTGAATTGGCTATCACCTTAATTTGATAGAAAAGTATTAGCAAATGTTATCATCAATAGCTGGTGTTTTTTGTTGAATTTTATTTTTAATATAAAGGGATAACCACTGTTCTTATGATATTCATATTTCACAATAAATACATTGTAAACAACTCACAGAAATATAAAACATTCTGCTTTACCATCAGAATAGCAGTTAACACAGTTATTTTGGAATTTGTGCTTGCCATCACATCACGTGACCTCCATAGATGGCTAAGCTCTGTTACGGTAAAAATCTCTTAAGAGAATATTATAAAAAAACAACAAACCTTTTAGAAAAAAAAACAGGGACTAATTTTGAATGTCAGACAGGATTCATTTGCCATTGGTTAGTATGTGAGAAAATTGTCCTTTACCCCAGGAAAACCTTTTTTTTTTTGCCAAAATGAACAGTTGTTATCTCTTAATTTTATGATTGAAAGGAAGTGGTACAAATTATTCTGCAGACAAGTAAGGAGCGAATCTGCATGTTGCTCTTTGAAATTTTGAAAAGAAAAAGGAAGTGTCACATCTCTTGATTTCAGCCCAGCTGGAAGGAAAGATCTTCAGATTTTTTTAATATGTGCAATATAAATTCCCAACTATATCCAGTATAAGTTGAAGAAAAATATTTTAAGGCTGTTGCTTCAATTCATAGACTGACTTGAATTATTCATTCAGGTTATATGCCTATTTGTTAAGTGCCATGAAACAATTTATTTGTTTTGAGTATTTGAATTATTATTAATTTTACATTTAAGTCTTGTTTTTAAGTATGTAAATTTTGTTATGAAATTTTATAATTGTTTTCAGCAGTATATCAAATACTGACAAATGATTCTGTTCAAAGTTAACAGGAAGAAATGCATTGTCTGTAGAACAAAGAGGTTGAACTATTAAGCTGAAAGTAAGTTGAATAGATTGATAATTCTGGTATTTTGTCCCTTTTACATGCAGTTCACTAAAATAATACATGTGTATGTTAATGGAGTTACTTCATATCTCGACTTGCTTTGTCCAAAATATGCTCATAAAATATATAGCACAGGTGATGAAAAGTTTAAAAAATCAGACCATAAGTGAGCTCATTAATTATCCTGTCTTGTGAGGAGACAGATGAAACTAAATCTTTTAATTTTTCATTTTGTTATGTTATTAGTAACAATGCCAACGGTAAGGCTTTATTGTTTTAACAATACAAATACAAATTGTACTTGTGCTTTTGTAACAATTTATAGATGTGAGAAATTAAATGTTATAATTGCTTCTTTTAATTTTGAATTTATGTTTTAATAAATTATATAAAAAATTAAATTTTGAAAAAAACTTTTTTTTATTTCTGAAAACTGTGCTAGATGCATAAGCAGTCTTTCAATGAAAATAAATGCTGTTTTGCTGTGCTATACAAGTGATTTCAAATCAGCTAAAGAGCTGCCACAAAATGGAAGAAGAATGGAAGCATTTTATTTTTATATTTACAAAAAAGCAGATCAGCTTCTTAACTCTGAATGTCCCACTAATTTTTTTTTTTTTTTTTTTTTTTTGTTATTCAGACGCAATTTTATATTTTTTTCTATCCGCAAAGACATCTTTGTAAATATGTCTTATAAATATTATTGGTCTGAGGTTAATATAACAATGTCCATTGGTCAGTCGTGTTTAGTGTTTATCACATGGTTCGTTCATCGACCTACGAAAGCCCAGTCACGCATCATCAAGTATGTTGTCTTTGAAAACGCGTTTTTATTTTTATTTATTTATTTGTTGTTGTGTTTGTGTCATTATGACTTTATCAACCCCCTAATCCTCTTTTCGAGATGGAGACTTATTGTGCCTTCTCAAAAAAACAAACTATAATTCAAACGGAATCGTCTACACGGAAAGTTGGAGACCTCTTCTTTATTATGTAAATCAGGTGAGACTTTTGGTGAGAGGTGCTCAGATAGGACCAAGTTCAGTAGAAGATGTGGGAAGAAGGATGTTCCATGTCATAATACTCCTACTGCCACATGTAGGCCGAAAAGATGGCACTGAAACCGGCAGCAGTATCTCGTAAGTTCCGAACGAATAATAGAAAATGTATTTTAGCATTTCTCAGTTTTGCATTGACGATATATTCCCGAAACGGTGCTCTTTAGACATACTGACCATGCGGACATCTAACTGACGTGAAGGATACTTTCTCTTAGCTTTCCATCAGTGTTTGGGTACCCTTTTGTTTCTAATTCCATTGGCTTTCCATGAGGGTTCAATATCTTAATAAAATATTTAATTAAAATATAAATATATATACTTGTATCATTTTAAAGCTTAATTGGGATTTGTTAATTCTAACGCAAAGGATACTGACACGAATTACTGCCATGAACATGTACTGTTTTATCAGATCTTTAGACATTGTGTCAGGAATGTGAATTTATTCCTTTAATTCCAGTGACACTAACAACCGTTAACGAAGATATCAGAAGCGTCCTACTCAGAGACACGTTTTGTCTTCGACATACACAGCCCCACACCCATGCCAAGATTGCTTCCTATGCCGACGCTTGTCTGCTTGTTGATTTGCAGGGACGACATTTAGTACGGAATGTTATGTTTGCCTTTGGTTGAAACATTCTGCTCCAAAACGTATATCAATTTAAAAGTCGAATAAAATAAGCCTTTTATTTATGGAATTTCTCATAGAAATTAAATCCATACTAAGCGTCCGCCCTGCATGTGGCTGGTTTGCTTCTTTTGGTAATTGTATGTTATTATATCGTAGTACAGTGCTCTATCTGATCATGGTGTTACGAGGGAAATTTGTATACTTTTGGGTCGGGGTTGATATATACCCGCTCCTTTTCGAACCTGAAACGTTAGACCTGAAGTTATCATTTAACAGAAATAATGTCTGTATAAAAATGATAAATGTATAAAATTGATAAAGTGATTGTTTTAAAGTTGCCATATATTAATTTCCAAGAAGAGAAATGTTTTCTATTTGTCACTGAAAATATGTGTGGGCAAATCTGCAACTTGACACCTCGATGTGAACTTGAAGATGTACTCTTATTCATTTTAAATGATGTTGACTTCTGGGAAAGGAAAGACATTACAAATGCATTACGTAAAATGCATATAGGAAACTTTTAATAACATTTATCGTGTGTGCATTCGAAAAAAGGGAAAGATGTAAATCTACAAAAGACACTGTTAATCAAACGTATAATGCCTTAGTAACCTCAACGTTATGTAACGGCCAACATGTGCCCACGTTAATGCAGAATTGTCCACATGTACTATAACGATTTTTTAACAAGTATGAATATGGCATTGTGGTTGTGAATAAACTTCCTCTGGCTCTCGGTGTTTTCAGTGCTGGGCGGGGATCAAATACCTGCTTTTCAGAAAAAAAATTAAACCATGGGTGGGGTAAAGATTGCTGTCCGAAATAAATAAAAAAAATAATGAAAATTAATTAAACACTGCAGTAGTAGAATAGGATCTTAGTCGTGTTTGTGATAAGAAAACTGTTCCTATTGTTGGCTACAAAAATTGCCAGGATTGTGATAATTATATGCCGTTTAAGACAAAACAAAAGTGTTTAAAAACAAAAACGGGAAACGGACTTTATTTAAATATGTTCGTTCATTAAATGTTTCTGTAGGACTGATATTAAACAAAGCCTTTTGCATTTCATAATTTCAAAATCACTTAGCTGTTGCGAAGCCCAATTTTCAGATATAGTATTATAAAAAAGTCACTGAATTCTTAGATCGTCAACTTTTGTCAATTTGGTCAAAAGATAGTAAACAATTCATGATTCTTAAACAAAACCTATGCTTTTTAATTATATTATAGGGATTATTATTTTATCTGTTACAC